GAGGCGAGTCCAGTTGCCGCAAGTGAAGGTTCAGGTCTATCCCTCTTCTCAAGATTCTCGTTTTCCTAAATGGTTGGGCACTGGAGACGAGAGCTTCCACATTCTTTTGGGCCAAGATACACACACATGACTTGTGTTTTTTTTTTGTGTGTGTAATGAATCGAGACAAAACAGAAAATGTTTATCATTGTAAAGAAAGGAATTGAGTTGGGCCATTCATTAACCTTTGAATCCATACAGATTAGTATTATTATCAGATTAACCTAAAATAAATAAATAAAATTCATAAAGTGTTGGAGCAGACTTGAAATATATAATAATGTTGCAGACTTTGTTTGTGGTTGGTCATGGATCAAGCCGCCGCGTTCGACGGAATCAGTTTGAACGAGTCACAGTCTCAGTGTCTCAACATTCGGCGAATTCCTTTATTCCCCTACGTTTCAGATTTCTTCTACCGTTGGGTCGGGTCAGGTCAGATCGATCCTCTTCATTTATGATCATCACCACCGTCACAGAAAGCTGATTGATTCTTCCTCTTGCTCAAGCGATGGAGCCTCGGCACAAATTACACTCTGGGTTGCGTTTATGGGAATTCCCGGATCAGTACGTCATCGAGCCAACCGATGGTTCCTCCGCTCCATGCTTGGACATTAGTCGTCTTGACGGCTCCATGAAGCTCATTGGTGCGTTTTCTCTCCCTTTTTTTTTTTAATTTGCTCAATCTCTCCCTCACAATGCATCCTCTCTTGTGTTTCAGATCAAGTCGCAGAATGCAACTCTTTGCGTGTCCCCAAAATCCGTTCCATTTTTGGTGTGGTTGGGATGCTGAAGCTCCTCGCAGGTATTCAAACCAAACTGTCAAATGTGAACCAATGAGCTGTGGAACCGACACCACTTTTCTTTTTAAAAACTGTATCAGGATCATACTTGGTAGTTGTGACAGAGAGCGAATCTGTTGGCTCGTTTCTGGGCCATCCTATCTTCAGAATTAACTCGCTCAATGTTCTTCCTTGTGATCATTCACTCAAAACCTCGCCTGAAGAACAGGTGTTCCATTTTCCCTCTTGTATATATAACAATGGAGCTCAAGTCTCAAATCACTATACCGCTTTTCGCAGAAAAAGATGGAGCCTGACTTCTCTAGGCTGCTAAGTGTTGCAGAGAGGACAACTGGTCTCTACTTCTCATATGAAATTAACTTGACTCTAAGGTATATCATTTCTCTTCTTCTTTATGCCACTGGTACACTGAAAGATCATGAAAACAGTTCAGCTTTGCTAAATCATGTGTATGTGTGTGTGTTTAGTTTGATATTTTTTGTTTCCTTCTTGTTTCAGTGCACAGCGTTTGCATGATTTGGGTGAGGAGTCTAAGTCGCTTCCTCTGTGGAGACAGGTGTCCATACGCATTTTTTTTATGGAACACTTTGTTCATAGTCTCTCCTTGTTGCTTGTTTGTGGATGGAATGGAAATTGACTTTTGCTTCTTCATGGCAGGCTGAGCCTAGATTTCTTTGGAACAATTATATGTTAGAACTTCTTATTGATAATAAGGTCAGTGAACTCTTGACTTTCTTTTGAGGTCACTCCTCTCTTTGCCGTATACCTCACCTTTTGTTGCTTTTATTTTGTAGCTTGATCAGTTCTTGCTTCCGGTAATTCAAGGGAATATCCTTTTCCTATCAGTTATTTCACTCCTTTTTCTTCTGTCTCTTCTGCATGATCATCATTTTTCTTACTCGAATCTTTTTTTTGGATCATGACTTTAGACATTTCCTTGACCTTGAATCACGTTTCCATAGTTTTCAAACTGCCATTGGAAAAGATATCGTCGACGTTACTCTCATTGCTAGGAGGTGCACTAGAAGAAATGGTATGCACTTCTCTCTTAGTTTATTTTTACCCGGTGACACTTTATTTACAATCTACAAAAGTGGCAAAAACTCATAAGGTTTGGTTGTCTGGCATAAAGGTGTAAGGTCATTTGTTTGACTACTAGAACCTCGCTGTGGATCTACCTTGTTGGAATCTTTTTAGAGTAGAAAGTTCTGGACCTTAATATCATTTTAAATTGAGATGATATATCGGTTGTGAATTCAGATGTTATATATATACACACTAATATCATTTTGAATTCAGATGTTATAATATATGCATTGTGATTGTGTCTTGCCTCTTATTTTGAACATTTGCAAGGTACTCGCATGTGGCGAAGAGGAGCTGACCCTGATGGTTATGTTGCTAATTTTGTGGAGACTGAGCAAATTGTACACATGAACGGATACACATCATCATTTGTTCAGGTGATATTTTTACATGTTTGCAAACTATGATTCCCCTAGGCTACAAATTTTTGGTTATGTCATGGATTCACCCATCCAAATACTTTCGTTTTGTACACAATTTTTCTTATGTGTGTGAATTACCATGATTTAGTTCTCATGTTGTTTTACCTCCTTTTACATTTTTCAGGTTAGGGGATCCATGCCTTTTATGTGGGAGCAAATTGTAGATCTGACCTACAAGCCCAAGTTTGAGATTGTCCAACCTGAAGAAGCTGTGAGTATGATTTCTAGTTAACCATTTTTCCTTATAGTGTTTTTACCACTCTTAAGTGACCTTCTTTGGGACTCCTCTTGCAGGCGAGGATAGCTGAGCGTCACTTTCTGGACCTAAGGAAAAAATACGGATCAGTTTTGGCTGTTGATCTTGTCAATAAGGTGCATATCCTTTGGAATATATGAGACTTAAGATGCGATACTGCTCCTGTTTGCTGTTCATGACCTCATATTGACCCTCAATTGTGTATTTATTCAGTTCAATCTGTAAATAGAAGTGCAATGCACAGAGATACTTGAAATTTTTACTCCTCAATTGCTTCTTCTGTAATCAGCATGGAGGTGAGGGGCGCTTAAGCGAGAGGTTTGCAGGTGCTATGCAGCACATCACTGGTGATGATGCAAGGTTGCTATCCGTTCCTCTAACACCCTTGATACTAGATGTTTCAGTGTATTAGTATCATCAACTCACTGAAGGATATGGCTGATCCTGTAGATACCTGCACTTTGATTTTCATCGGATCTGTGGGCACATTCACTTTGAGCGCTTAGCAATTCTGTATGAGCAGATTGAGGATTTCCTTGAGAAAAATGGGTATTAGATACTTTGGACATCTCCTCGAATTTATCTTGGAGTTATGGGTTTCGTAACTTATGTTGAATTACACAGGTACTTTTTGTTGAATGAAAAGGGTGAGAAAATGAAGGAGCAGCTTGGTATTGTGCGCACAAACTGCATAGATTGCTTAGACCGTACAAATGTCACGCAGGCTAGTATAGAATAATACGACATTGTTCCTGGACATCCGTCTTCTCTTTGCTTTTTGCTCATCCTAGGGTGGGTATACTTCCTGTCAAATGCAGAGCATGATAGGTCGAAAGATGTTGGAACTTCAGCTCAAAAGGATTGGTGTTTTTGGCGCTGAAGAAGCTATAAGCTCGCATCTAAATTTTGACGAATGCTATAAAATATGTCAGTAGTTTATTCTCCTAGGAGATATCTAAATTATGCAGTAGTAAATGAATTTCTTAGATATGAAATTCCAAACTCATGTGTGGTGCTTATGTTGCCATCAGTATGGGCTAATCACGGTGATGACATTAGCATTCAGTACTCCGGCACTCCTGCACTTAAAGGAGATTTCGTCAGGTACGACACAAGTATCCCGAAGAGAAGAGTGTTTGCATATTAGTTACACAAGCCATCTAATGTTTCTCTAGATTAAACACGCTCTAACTTGTCTAATTCTAGGTATGGTCAAAGGACTGTTCAAGGGGTCCTCAAAGATGGCTGGAATGCCCTTGCACGCTACTACCTGAACAACTTTTCTGATGGAACTAAGCAGGTTGGTGGCTCTAACTAGGGCTTGTACACTTGGTAACTCAACCTGTGCTCACTACTGTTCATAATCTTGGTTTGGTACAAAGGATGCGATTGATCTTGTGCAAGGACATTATATAGTTGCTGTGAGCCGAGACATGGCTTTAGTGCCTCGAAAGGGAGGTCTTGAGGCCATAGCCGTAAGCAATCATCAGCTTATAATATCTTACAACTAAGGATAATTTTATATTCTGGTCTAATTCAAAATACCTCTCATTCCACAGAATTTTCCAGTGGCATTGGCGGTCGTGCTGCTCAGTTTATGGTTTGCAACAATGTCTGTAAAACGAGGTACGCTTGATCTCTGGATTTGGGGTAGGAATTATAAAGCCATTAAAGGTTGACAAAAATAGTGTATGTTGGGTGCAGCTGGGCGTGATTACAGGCACTTGTTTTTCTCATTGGTGTGGGCGGGCATCAGTGTGGCTGTTGCGGCACTCGTGAGGGCCAATGGCCGGATCTTCTGCAATCGGCCTCGTCTGCACAAGCCCAGATCTTGAACCTATTCATTGCCTTTGTTTCCTTTCGTTCTGTTTTCGTTATTCATGACCTTATATCATTTGATTGATTTCTTCAGTTTATGAATGGCTTATGCCGACTAATTACAAAATGAGTTTTTTCTCAATGCGATATAATGTTAGCTTTAAAACACGTTCTGGACTGATGTATGATGACAAGAAAGATGTACAAGTTACACCACTTTTCTCCTAACCCCATTCTTATTAGCTTATTAGCTTACTACATCTATCGTTCGAAAACTTTCAGCTGGTAACAAGTAAATTAGTAATTACACTAGATGACGCCCAAAAAAAGATGTCACTAAAATAACTCCAACGACAGAAAGATAACAGTCACTGGATCCCATTTCCAAAGGTTTTTACCTAACAAAATTAGTCCAAATGATATATAAATGATACATAGTAAAGGACAGATTCATTGCCTAGACCTGGACTCAGCCCTTCGAGCCTCTTCCCGCGTAGTTGGAAACAACTCCACATACCTTGACCCCATTGACATTTTGTCCTTAGCCATTGCCCTCCGCGCCTCCTCTGCTGTCTCAAACTCCACATATGCTTCTCCTGTGGCTTTCCCATCAGGTCGACACACAACATGTACCCTTCCTTCAATAACCTTGTAACCGCTGAAAAACTCAATGATTTGAGGCTTGTTGACGGAGTAAGGGAGGCCTCGCATCTTCAAAACCTGTGTGTACTCGAGCTTCTCGTTCTCACTAAACCTCTTAGCTCTGGATGGTCCGGCAGGAGGTGGGCTAACATGGACCTCGTTTTCGTATGCTCCCTCCTCAGCAGCCACGGCATTGTAGTAATCCTGCTTATAGCAGCGGAAAACTTCGACGTATCTCCTCCCAATGTTCTGCCTGTCCCTCTGCAGTGCAACCTCCACTTGCATTGGGCCGGCAAAGACGACAAAGGCCTCCCCTGAGAATTTACGGTTTTTGTGGAGCAGCAGAACATCGACAATGTCAAGGCCGGCAAAGAACTTGAAGATGTCAATGTCAGCGCAGTTGAAAGGAAGACCCCTGAGGCGAACGACTGGGAATCCGTAAGGAGGAACTGCCAAGTAGGGATTTGATTGCATCATTCTTTGTCTCTTTGATCCGACCTCGTACCCCACGCTCCCCAACATGGCCCTTCAATTAACCCGAAAAGATACCCCCAACTCAACCAGTTAATATAAACCACACCCAACCCATTCTTTCCCGTTCAATCATCTCTATGCAGTAATAAGACCCCTAACGCCCATTCTTCCCTCCTTAACTATCATCTATGCACTCACAAGATGCAGATTAAAAGGATGGATATTCAAACAAGAATCGATTCCATAATTCTAAGATGATTCCCACAAAATTCTCGATTAATCACGCAACTGAGGAAGATCGAATACATACCCTCTAGATCCGTACATGACGCCAAGCTCTTCGTCGTCTCCAGAATCAATCTTCTTCTTCGCCATCTCAATGGAAAGGGGAAAAATTGCCCTATATTAGGGCCCAATACGGAACCTTTGGCCCATTATCCCAGACAGGCCCATTATCATATCGCAAAATAGCCCGGATTCTGCAATCAATCGAGGGATTCGAATGAATCTTTGGAGATGGCCGGGAAATGCCTTCTTCTCACCGGCCCTCCGGTGAGCTTCTCCCTCTTCCCCTTTCCTCTCACCGCCTTCTTTTTTAGGGCTCTCTCTTCGGATTTCATTATTTTTGGCAGGGTGTCGGAAAAACCACACTCATCATGAGAGTGTTCGATATGTTGAGCCCTAGCTTAAAGATCCAGGGTTTCTACACTCGTAAGTAAGCTCTTCCAGAA